AATAAATTCGCTGGAGTCAGGAAATAAGGTATGTGTTTAGGGAAATTATACTACCTGTCCTTATGACGAAAAAAAGCAAAAAGTACTTAGACCCATATCTAACGATGTTGCGACAAAAATGAAAATGATTATTTTGTATAAAGTAATTAAACCTCTAAAAATGAAGCAAGCTTGCTTTAAATTACACTTTTTATTAAAGTATTCTATACATTTTGTAGCTGAAACGTGTGGACATTGAAGAATGCTAGTAAGCAATCCGTGAATGAATGATGTCGCTTGAAAAAAGACGAACTACGACATTTGAAATTGGTGACTGTCAAGGAATCTAAATTTATTTTGTTAACCGTAAGAAAGAAATATGATAATTAGATATTGTTAGTCCAAAGCTTGTTGTTCTCAGTACAGACAGCCTGAGGGCTGGAGGGCTCATGCAAATTACTAACATCGTAAACAGTCTTAAACAGTTGGCTATACCAAACATTTGGTTATTCATTGTATTTTAGGAGATTAATAGGTCTGAAGGCAAACTCAGAGAACCATACACGTTATTTATCGAAAATACCCATCCTTCACCGATTGATTACACGTCACCTACGGAGCTGCGTGTTTTGAGAAATGAAGTTTTGTGATGGAGAAGGTCGGCTTATGCCATAGGAAGTGAGTCAAGTTGCAACAGGCGTCGAATGGTCAAGATGCGTTAAGAAATCAAAAATTAGGTTTAGAAATTTGCCAATCACTTAATAATATTCACATATCAACATGGTGACTCAGTAGCTTGTTACACATTTGGATGAGGAAGCTGTAGTGGTGTTTAGTGACTTTGAACATCACCTTTAAAATCTTTCCCTGACCAGAGTAACTGATCCAATTTTTATTTTAATCAGAATGACAATTTATTTTTTCTTTTAACTAGGTATTATCTTCTTTCTCTTGTGAAAACTCTGTACACTGACTAGATTAACTAAGAGCTAATCTTTGGGCTACCAAAGGTGTTGACTTAAGTTTGCACAAAGCTTGAAGTTGTCTTCCTAAGTTTTTCTAGGTTGAAATCAGTGCCAGGTGGCATGCAAACAGGAATCAGGGGAGCGTTCCTGAATTTGCTACCATCCCATTCTTCATCCGAAATTTATACAAACAAGTTTCTTACTATTTTAAACTAGATAGAGCCTTCGTCGAGCGATGATGGTCTCCAGGAAACAAGTTAATTATTAAAAAACAAATTTTCTTGAACAGCTCTTGTATATTAATGAACGAGTTTTCAATAATTCGAAGTTCATTTTATTCTCAATCGTCAACCATGCTGCAGCACATCATCACACGGTGATATCTCGTACCAATAAAACAGCAAGACTTTTAGTTCAGACTAACCACATTAAAAGGTTTGGACTAAGTTAGATTTTCTACCAAGTACTTAACCCTGCCAATTGATAAATTTCTAGATGCCGTTCTTTTGAATAGGTCAAGCCAACATTTCAAATTGTACACTTACTTTAACCAACATATATCCCAGGAATTGACAATGTATTTACTGCTTAATATACTCGGTTTTTAGTGGATCGCTGGCTCTTGCAAACCAATAAACTCTTATTTTTAGTATTT